GTGCACTTATTTTCCTGATATTTATTAACGACCTGTTAGACACACCTAGCTCACCGGCATTGATCTACGCAGACGATGCGAGGGGATTCGCCTGAGCTCCTAAAGGACCTTACACCCATTCAGGAATGGGCAGTAAAAATCCGCTTAAAACTAAACCGGTCGAAATGCCACTTCATGCCACATAACACAAACCACTTTCACCGTCATTGGGAGTTAGCTCCCTAATGTCTTCTCAGAGCGCGATCTCGGTTTAATAACGACTCAAAGCCTCGAAACCAATTCAAACTACATAGGGGACGCAGTCAAGGTTAATGCACCCGTTTAATTTATGTGAAGATAACTTGGCGCTATCACCACAGAATAATTCTTAACGCTGTTTAGGACATTTGCGCGCCCACATTTTTGGGTTCACAACATCGTCGCACTCCCTTTCTCAAAAAGAGACATAAATGTTTTGAATCGAGAGTAGAGGCGAATAATGAAATAGGTGATAGGGTTGAAGAACAAACCTTACGAAGATAGAATCCAGCACTCTGAATTACACTGCCTGAGTAACTCTAGAACCAGAGATTATCTGATTATGGAGTACAACATATTAGGCTTTAATAAATTTTAATGAGAGTCTTGATAAACACATACATATGGGCTATCATCTCCCTCGTGGATCATATGTGCCGGATGCATGTTTTGAGACCTGCTAGTTGTTATCATCTCCATCTCCTTAGGTCACTAAATTTGGCTACCTCACTCATTATCTCCGTTTCCTGTCTCTTGCTTACACTTCGTTCCTCTCTCACAGTCTTCGCTACCAATTATTAAACTAAATTGTCTATTTACATAGTTATGAAATCTTCTTATTAGCATTAGAATTTTCTCCTTATTATTCTCCACACTGAAACTAACTGATATCCGGCACAGTAACGGGATAGCTGCTGGTATCCAGAAACTTTACTGCCCTAAAGCAAACGTATACATTCGAATCACAGGGCATACAAACCCACAAAAAACTATCAATAGACTAGAATTAGACATTTGAATGGCTAGAACCCCATCCATTGGACTCTACCAAACACCTCGAACGGTACATGAAGAACAAGAATCGAGCTCAAAGAAATCAACTGGTTTATGCTAGCTCGTGAAAAAGATATTCGATGGTGGATATTATGTACTGAATTATAAATAGACTAACTTAATCTGTAGTGAATTCAGACTTTCAAAATCATGTAAGGTTTTCAGCAATTCCCAAGTTTTATAATGAAATATATTTAAAAGATAGATGGACAGATATTAGAAGGGTTCATTCATAAGGCTATTGATATCACTGATATTTATCGCTTGATAAAGGTTTTGTCTTTAAAACTTCTATAATCTAAGATCCCAAACACAGTTAAAAAATATTTAGGAAGGAAAAGTTTAGATTATATACTTGGAAGATAGTCATTATGTCAATATATATATGATCCAAGCTGACTAGTTGCAGTGTACCAAACGCCAATGTCTTGTTAAGACGAGATTGAATGCCTTCATTCATGCCGTGTCCAGTAGAACTAGTGAGGTCAGCATCATTATCTAAGACTTACAAAACTATTTATTTCGCAGACTTACTGACCTCTAAAAGGCATTCAATAAAGTTAGATTACTGAGCATAAGCCATTCGACAGAATTAAAATAATGTATTTAGAGGTCAAACTGCATCACGAGACAAGCCCTCACATGGAACCCTCAAGGCAAAAGGAAAAGAGGAAGGCCAAAGAACACATTACGGCGAGAAATAGAGAAAGACTTGAGAAGAGTGAACAAAAATTGGAAAAAAATTGGAAAGGGAAGCCCAGGACAGAGTTGGTTGGAGAAAACTGGTCGGCGGCCTATGCTCCATTGGGGATAACAGGCGTAAGTAAGTAAGTAAGTAAGTAAGTAATTTAAAGGTCACAAGCTGAATCAGATACAGTATTTTAAAATGAGTACACAATTATGTCCATTTGGAGTATTTGTTAAAAATTCCATCTGTATCTTTGATGAGTGGAAGCAATTACATTTTACTATTAATTCTCAAAACTGCCTAATTCCTACTCCGGTGGCTATGTATGGACCAGTATTGAAGTCAGAATATGAAGCTTCTAAAGCTGAATACAAATTTTTATCCTTTGATTCTATAGTTAAAATCTCATCACAAGTGCTTTCGGCGGTAACAAAGGGCTGTTATAAAATTTTCGCCTCAGAATAGATAATCCATGATCATCAATGAGGAATTCACCAGTTACAATTGAAGACTTATCATCTTTGATCAGTAAGTTGCAACATTCATGAAGGGGAAGTTTATGACCGGTAATACTCACGGATCAACAAATAAACGTCCCAGCAGTGAAACGCGTCTCTTTACATCAACTAGAAAGCTTAGTACACTCACTCTTCGACATCCTAATCATCCTTCAACAATACCTCCAATTCTCTTCACCTCTGACTTCTGGTTTGATTCGGCTTTGAGCATTCTCGATCTGAAATTTGTTATGGACAAAAGCACTATCAAACTCTGAATGTGTGAAATTTTCAGAAGCATTAAACATGACGAAATACACAAGAATAACGTGAATGGTTCTCACCACAAGGTAAAAATATACCAAACGTGTGCTCGCCGTCCGAAATCGTTTCAAAAATTTTTGTTGAGTCGTTTCACGGCTTTCCACGAGAATGAGAACCATTATTAACCAAACATCATTTTGAGCGACCTAGACGATGCAGTTCATCAGGACTGAGAAAATTGTCGGAAATTTCCAATGACTGGGAATTAAGCTCATTCGCTGACTCATGAAGCTTTGATTTCTTCGCATGAAATCCTAAGTTTCTGGATTATTTCTTTTTATAAATTCGTAATATTTATCCCCACAATCAACCGATCATGAAGGTAAATTCCAACTGGTCTTCAAACTTGCACTTTGTAGCATGTTTTTGCAAGTTAAGTAAAAAGGTTCTAACTTCCTAACTTTTATTGCACAATCTCTTTGTATTCAAAGTACATGACTTAGTAACAAACCCTTGATAGATTTATGCGGCAATTAACTCGGTTTCTTAAAAAAAGCTAAATTCTTTAGTGGCTTATACGAATCTTTCTAATAAATAACAAGGAATAGGCTGGAAGTTTATCATCTTTAATATTTTTTCAGGTCGTACGCCAGGTTTTAAAACGTTTAATGTAGTGTTCAGTCACATCCCAATTTGTAAAGCATCCCTTTGTCCAAGACGTGACTATGTAGTGACGCCAATGTGATGATTAGAAGTGTTAGGATTGTGGATGCTAACTATCGATACCCAGAACTGGCCAGTTCGTACCCTGTTAGTAACGCAGGAACCAGTATTCAAGTGACAGAGGAATTTATGACAAATCCAAACTGACTGCAGATTGATTTACAAAGGAACGATTTTGTGTACAAAAATCACCAGTAGTCGGTTTCTTATACACTATCTTTCAACCTCTCAGCGTAGCTGATCACTTAATTTAACTAAACTAACATTCAGAAAGCAAAATTTATTGTCTAAAGCAAAACCAATACATCGTTCCCATTTCTTTTTGTGAATATTATGATCCGTTAGTAACGTTGATAGATGATATCGATTTGGATGTCAGAAAGCGTGCATCGGAGCATCGATCCGAACTGGAACAAATACTTTCCATTTCATTTACTTGTGCAGCACAAGCATACTTTTTGTGCTTTTACAAAGCTTTATGCATCATAATGTGAATCAAAGTTCCTAGGTGATGTAATGATGAATGATTTTTATTACTCATCATCTCTATAAATATGACAAAACAAAAAATTTAATTCATGAATACACCTAAAATGCAAGGTGACTGAATTTAAATAGGAGTGTTTAAAACAGTTGAGAGTAGAGAACAGAGAATTTTTACATTGAGTACAGAGATATATTCAAAATAGCATTAGTATTGTATTTGTAAGTCGTTAGAACAATTGTGTTGAAAAATAACGTAAAATCTAAGTTGCTTAGTCTAAAATTTTCGAAGAACCAAATTTTTATGCTTTATTTTCAGCTTAATTATCATTCTTTGAACATCATCTTTATAAAATCATGTCATAATCAACAAATTCCTCAAGATTGTTTGTGAGACTTTCAGTACTAGGAAAACTCATTTTGTTACTCTCAATTACTAATCCTAGTACTCAGCCTTGAGAGGTGAATAAGTTATTCCTATTTACGAACCTTCATGAGAGATGTAGGAACTCTACGAATGAATTTCTGACTAACGAATATGAAGGCCTAGTGATAAGGACGAGTTTCCTAAACATTGGTTCACTCTTTCGATTTCAGCATACGCTTAACTGTACTTTCACATGTTGTTTTCTCAGCCATTCTGCATTGTTTAGTGCTAATATGAATGTCTGTAATGTTTATGATAGAACATTAGTGATTGAAATCTGTGTATTTTCAAGGTTATATATATTATATAGTAAATGAAGTTGAAAATATAATAATGCGAAAATAAGAATAATATGACGTGAATTTATTTTTCTGAATCAAAGTTATGGAAGATAAATGTTGCAATACAAGACAAGCCTATTCTCTAACATTTTGAAGAAAAATTAGCATAATCTTGCTGATAAAGATTTAATTGAAATAAGAATACAGCCATTTGAAGAAAAAAAGCATTAAAAATAGACTGACTAATTATTTAGGCTATAGCAAAAATGATTGTTATATCATTACGAACTTTACAGTATGAACATGCAGACAGCGTTGGGATAAAATGCAATGTTAACTGAACCGTGAAATCGTATATTTATAAATGTTTAGCGAATTAAGTATCCATCGATTGAACCTGAAGAGTGACTGGTGTGATAAAGTAGACTAGTGTGATAGGCTTTGGAAAGGATAAAGCCTTTCATTAAAAGTAAGCATACGAATTAGATATTCTACCTTAACATCTTTTGTGTATCTTCATTGAATAAAAATTTCTCTGGTTGTACAAATAATTTATATATAGGATATTATTCATCTGTATTCTCTGATTTTGGAGCAGCTTTGGGAAGGATACCAGTTGGAGGGACAGTTGCATTTTTACCTTCCTCCAAATGGAAACGTCGATAATACAGCTGAATTTGTGTAAAGACACATTTCCAGTCAGGTACTTTCATACGCATTAAATCTTCAATGTCAAGTAACGGAGAAACATTGCCAAGCTTTCTGTTAAAAAATTAAAAGAGAATCAATCAGATATTCAGGGTCAGGAAATTTAATATTGGTTATTTTTCAGAAGATAGATTACTAATATTCATAGTTCGTAGACTATTTGCTCAAAAGCCCTATCTTCAAAAGTTCATATTATACAGTCGAAAATATAACATTATTTCGCAGGGGATGTGTTTGATAACAGTTCGTGAACTGAATGCCCATTTAATTTTTACTGTTGTGTGACAAAAATACTTCATCATAGGGTTTCAAGTGAAATACTATTCAATAATATTAGATGGTCAACATAATACTCTGGATCAAGGTTTCGTCCTTTTTGGTCCTTCTTCCAACCAGCGTCTTACATGTCGAATCACTTAGATCAGTGGCCACATTGCAACTTAGTGGATAAAATTCGATCAGCTTTTAAAAAGAACTTGAATCGGTCATTACTAAACGAAAAACCATTTGTAAACTGGTCAATGTTTCCTGTCTTACTACAGAAGTAAACTTTACCATTTTTTAATCTAGTAATTTCATTTGTCTAAATATTGTTGATGGGTCATTTATGACATTTACATAAGGTGTTTGTTTTTCTTACTCGGATGTTACATACAAAAAATACTTCCACCCATTTCATACAGATTATTCGGTTTAGTTTACTTTTTCTGTGACTAGCTAAAGGTCTTAATTGAATTATCGGAAGTTAGCTTACATGAAACCCAACGATAAAAGGAAGTTTGGATCACTGTATTAACCATTTGAAAATTTTAAGACAGATTTAATCAGACTACAATGATAGTTTCTTTCGTTGTTCATGTAAACTCATACGATGATCACAACATTCATCCTTGAAACCGAAGTTAAGGAATTCTTGTTGAAAATACTTTTGCAGGATGTTTTCATTTTACATCTAAGCTCATTTGTCAGCAAATTCCAATTGCAACCATTGATCTTATCTTAAATGTGTCCTATTTTGACCGACAACTCTTTGTGTATAATAATTTACTTCAGCTAAATGCAACATTTAAAGTTTCAATATCGTGTTAAAATGGTTTGATACATGTAAAGAGGAAAGAGTATAGCATTATAGGATCTAATATCAATTGGCATCTATTATTTACTAAGTGATCAATGCAAATATTTAGCTGAAAAAATTATGTTCTGTTCATGTTTTACTGAAAACCTCAAACTCAATCTCATAAATTCTGCCCAAAACTACTGCATAAAATGATTCTTAGGACTAATGCGTCGTAATTAATAATTACAGAATAAAATTCATAGTAGTAGAAGAGTAGCAATACCATATAATGATAGTGCATTAGAAGCTTATCTATTTTAGATTTTGATTGAGAGACAGAAGGTTTCAAATCTAATAATTTTATTATTGCTTTTTGACAGTTACATTCAACTTGAATTAAACCAAAGACAGCCTAAATATATTCTGGAGTTCAACCCTGTCGGGTGTAGACAGTAACTACCAAAGACAAATGGGTCAGGTCGCGCGAAATCCCTAGATCAATCAGAGTTAGACACTAACACCGTTCGATGCCGGCCCAGTGGTCCGATAGTTAGGCGTTTGCGCACAATACCGAAGGTCCCAGGTTCGAACCCTGCGAGGTGCAGGAATCGTGGATGCGCACTGCTGATGAGTTCCATACCAAGACGAAACGGACGTCCAGTGCTTCCAGGTTTCTAATGGTGGTCTAACAATGATTGATTGAAAATTTCAAATATGTAAAAACACTAATCTCCATAACTCTAATTGTAAATATATTTTGTTGTTGATTTGATTGAAAACACTGTACACACTTTCTGCTTCTACTATAACTCATGGTTAGAATAGATATTGTTTGAAGTTAAAACAGTTTGATTTTTGTGTATCTTCGTTCTGTGAATATAGTCATTTCATAAATAATGTTAACATTATTACAACAAAACTTTCGCATCAACTAGATTATTTTATGAATAATAATTTTTTTTTGTTGAATTTTCAAGTTTGGTTTGATTGTATGTGAATTCTGTTTAAATTGTTTGAAAAATGACAGCTACATAAATTAACGTGATCTACTTGGGAAAATGATTATTGTATATAAACCAACAGTCTTAGAATATTGTCTACGAATATGATATGATCACAATGAAAATCGTTTGAAATATTTTATCAACAGATTAGTAACTCATATTACAACTATTTATATACGTTAATGATTTATTTTAATGATTTGTAAAATGATTTATATTAGACATCAAGTGTATTACGTCAGTCGAACAATTTGAATTATTATGCAATATGTACAGTTGACCGTGTAAATTTATCAACAGTTTTGTTTAAAATATGAAAATATACTTAGAATGTTCCAATTTAAATAAACCTTAATTATTTCTATTACATCATCATGTCTCATGTGCTATTTGTTCAGAAGCAACTATAATAATAAATAAATAAGGAAAAGTGAAAAACATTTACTAACATACTGAAAATGTATTTAAAAATAGAAATAACCATTTTATTATACGTAGACGCTCATAATTTAAAAAAATTTTCCAGACTGATATAGAATTTTTTTTATCCAATAATATTACTTCCTTAAGCTGTATAATGGTATTTTAAGTAACTTTTTACATGTACTAGTTCACAGTAAAATAGAAGAGCGTTACAATGATAGTTGAACTCATTCAAGTTTCCGACATGAAAGTTAATGAAAATGAAATGAAGTTGCATTATGCAATCACGACTACTCGGAGATTTCAAGTATTAAATATAAAATTTTCTAAATGAATGTTATTTCTACGTAATTGAAGTTTCTGAAAAATTTTTTAAGAACTAAAGCTGTGTAATATATTTGATACCAATAAATAATTATTATGTTTGATGATGATAATTTTATGACTGTAGCTAAAATTTGTTTTCTTGATTTTAATCGATGTTTGATTAAATGTAGTTCTCTTTAAACAAAGTGATATTCTTTTTATCTCTTTCTAATAGAATTCACAATACATTAGAAGAATAATCACTTTTTATATATTAAATAATAAAAGTTTCAATGCTACATACGGTTCGATCAAGTTATTTTTATCAAGGAAATTCAAATCAACCCGTAGTTTTATTTTATGTGAAAAGTCTACTGAATTAAAATTGTTGACCGATTCGGCGGAAATTGAAATGTTAAGTTGATTTAGTATGGATTAACAGCCAATTTATATCAATCCAACAGATACATTACTAAATAGAACGATACAGTTTATTTCACTTCTATGAAATCAACAAAGAATTTCAAACAAGAAAGATGATTAAAGTACCTTGAAACAGTGTTAATCAATAAGTGTTTTCAAAACTCACTTGTCTTATAGTGGGCTGTTAAACCATACACTTATAATAGGAAATAACTTTCAAGAACAAGTATGTTACATTGATGACTTATTTCACCAATCCAAAATTCAATACACTCTTCACTTTATATTATGAAATAAAATACTAGCTGAGGATTAGCAAAATTTTATTTTCACTAAGCATACGTTTATGTGGGTGAAAAATGAAAGATTTGTTAGGAAAAATTTATACAATTTATTTCAGCTAACAATTAAATCGATTTTTAGAGGTCGAAATAGCCTAAACCAAAAGGTCTGGACATAGCAATTCGAGTTGAATTCATTTTATTTGACAGCACAAAATATCTATGTAGTAACAACTGTTATGAATATTTCCAATTAAAAGATGCAAATCTTCCTACGTTTTTAACTTTGTTGAAAATCTAACCAAAAAGCATATTACAATTTAATTATATTTTTTTTTCATAATACTCCATATGAAGATGCATTCTTGCACGTTCATGATTTCGAAAAAACCGACTGGAATGCTTTGTGTAAATTCTAACAATTAATTTATCAACTACACACTACAAATGTAGTCTGTTTTCAGAATTAAACTACATTGTAAAAAAAAACTCCCAATGAATATGAATAATTTCGTAATTGACTATTCTTTCTGATAAGGCAACAATCATTTATAGAATAGATTTCCATCATTTTCTGATAGATGAAACATGAATAGTTTAACATTAGTGAACACTTTTAGTGATTTTAAAGTGATTTCTAGTACTGTGATGTGTTACTGACTTTCAAACAAAATATAGTAGGTATATACAGTTTTCAATCTTGAGTGTAGTCAACCTTGATTGCACTTAGTATGACTAGCTTGCTGAATGTTGCGTCATCCAGAGTTACTAAAATATAATTTGCAGCAACCACCAGAAACTTGATGAACAAGTGGTTATTATAATCTAATGTATGTTATGTTAGGTTCAAAAAACCAATAAAAAGAGAAACTACGTCTTTCTATTAGACTTTTTTAGAAAGATATCTTTGGAAGTTCGGTGACAGATTGACTGTTCATGTGGAACTGGAAAAAGCGGATTGCAAATTGTAGTGTGTAAAGCAACAGTCACACTCACTTTAATTGAAATACATCGAGCCAATGTTCATTGGAGTGCTAATCATCATTACCCGTTTCGTATCTAAAGTTAGTCACATAAATATCAGTGAGTGGTAAAATTCTGTTCAGTACTACCTAGTTATTGCAATTAACAAGAGTAAAATGTCAAGTCATGACTGCTTTAACGATTAGTTATTTAACGACTACAGCCGTCACTCTCCGGGACTAAAAGGTTATCACTATCTAAGTGTGTTTATTAGTACAAACGATTTTGCATCAACTAAAGATTATTTGGCTTAAGGGGTGATAAGCGTCTAGAAATGAAAAGTTGTGAAGTTTCAGTCATTTATATTAATTTTTTCGATAAACTGCAGTTATTTTCAAATAAATATGAATTGACGAGTGTAAAAATAAGAGCGTGGAGTTATATCGATAAAAGTTAAGTAAACATTTGACAGTGATATTACTATGTAGAGAAAACAAATTTTCATGATTACACTTTCAAATCGTTTGTTTTAACTGATTAATCTTCCAACTACTATGGTTAATTTTAAACAGTAAAATAGTGGAAAGCAGTGGTGTAGTACATATTATTAATAAATAATGTAATGTAATAACCGCTAGTATCAGAATCTAAGAAGCGCATTCTATTCTGACTATCAACAGTAACAACTCATATGCTCTTTTGAATTATAATAAGAAGCTATCATACATGAGTTCGATAATTAGAAGAGTGTAAGGCATAAAACAGTAGCTGACGAACAACATGCTGATGTTTAAAGTATTGGAGATAATACAGATGACAGTTGAACAAAAACAAAAGTAAGATGACTTTTAAGTAAAATGAGGTTAGAGTTGGCTAAAGTATCCTTATTGAACGATTATTGGTTCTCATGCAGATTGCTGGAATTTTCCGATTATCGGTTTAATGAAACTAAAATGAGCGTAACTTTTGAACATTTCGATCAATGGTCAATCGCTTGATAAAATGCGTACTTTAACTTGACCATTTCAAATTGCGAATACTTTTCGAAAAATGCTAAGCAAAAATTTTATTTTAGTATTTATGTCTGTAACTTCTTGCTATTAAACTATCTTGCTCACACAGACTAAAATGATGACAAACCGATTGATTCTGTTTACTTAGAAATTGAACTTAATGTTTAAATTATCGGTTAAGTGCTTACATTAGAATCACAAGTATGTTTGATCTTGGTTTAAATGTCGAATATATACATACATCAGGATGATAATAGAGATAATATTTTTACCTGACTAGTTGTATTCAAAGGCACAAACAATTATGCCATATAAATAATTTAATTTTACAAATCAATTTGTATAATCAGAGGTGTTCAGTGGTTGTGATAACGTTGACTTTTAGTGACGATGAAAGCTTTAAAGAAAAGCATCCAGACTGTATTTCACCAGTTAAAAAAATAATTTAGCTAGATTATTCTCTCTACATAAGGAATATCAGTTTTGTTGTATTCCAAGTACAACCGTTTTCAGATAAAATTATCCTATGCTTTTATTCTAACCACCATAACTCTATCTTAAAATAAGATAAGCGTTAATTTACATTTTAATATTAACCACGTGATAGTGCCGAAAGGATTTATTATTTTCTGTTGTCCAATAACTCAGTCTGTTTCAAACACACCAATTTTTTCAGATTATGTAAGCATTTTTACATGCTTTTATGTGGTACTGAGCTAGGGTAGTCAGATAGCTATTTAAAATGAGATTTAAGTCCAGAATTACTGTAAAATTGTATGGATTGTAGTCACATGACCGATTCCAGAAAAAAATTGCAATCAAATCATCAATGAATAGACGAGGATATGATAAGTTTTACGTTAACGGGTGTTTTTTTCCTAAATATCTTTTATTATGATTTGTAACATTTTGGAGGTGTTTCGTATTCAATTATTATATTAAAACGAACGAAATCAGCTGATTATAAACTGAAAAATCGTGATTAGTAGTTCTAGTCGATGCTTTATGGTTGATTACTTTCTCTAAGCTGAACAATTTGTCTAATGCTATGCACAATACTATCCGTCTCTTAAACAAAACCACTCAACTATGATAAAAATCACGTCATTATGTGTGATAGTGATTTGTAGTTTTTAGCTTTCAACCGGAGCAAATATGTAAAATTTACGATGCTCAAATCATTTCATCAAATCAAATCTCATTGTTTTCTCAGACTGATTTTGTTCTTCATTTCCGTTTTGTGGATTCCTACGTGTTAGTGAATTCCAGCGAAGAAATTCGACTTGGTTTGGAATTAAATTTTAAAAAGAATCTAACAATACTAAATTAGTAAACAGTAAAATCACTTGGAAAGTGACTGAACCGATTTCATCTTGGCTACTTTTATCTAGAAATTTTATTGTTTCATCATATAACGAATAAGTAAGAGCAACCCACATAACAAGTTACATTGTTATAGTATTGCTTATATGAAATCAAACATATGCATATACTGTATGTATGTTTGACATAAGTGATTTGACTAGTATACATCTGTAAGTATGTTTATAGCACAAAATTTTCTGACAAAAATATTCAAACCATAGTTACTCTAAGAACGACCAAAATATTTTGGAATGTTATACTGAAAACGATCAACTGCGATTATCATTCGTTTTCTTAATGTCATTTCAGCTATATTATTACAAAGTTCTACATTTTTAAAAAGAACTGAACATTGAGATAGTGAATCGGAAAAGATAATATTTTAGCACTTTTCTTGTTAGGTTACCTTTTATGATTCTTGATAAAGCCTTTACAGAGAGTTAAAGATTATTCACTTGAATTGTTTTGTTCAAATTTTAATTTGTTGAGTTAACAGCAGCATCCATACGATTATATTTAGATGCTTAACGGTGTAAATAATGAAACTTTAATCGAAATTTAAGTGATATTGAGATGTTTCCTAATATTTTACTATCGAATGTTTAACTTAAGAGCAAGGCAATAAAACTATTAAAGAATAAATCTCTATTTACAAACAAAAGCCAAGGAAAAGATTTACATGTTGTACAACGAGTGACTAAATGACTAAGTGAAATAACAAAATAATCTGTTTGTTTTTGTTTTAAGATGTCTTGAGAGAGACTGATGGAAAAATAAAAGCATTTCTTAATTTTAAAATCAATGAAATATGTGTTTTTTCATGATAGAGTTATAAGGAATGTTGTTTGTTACCGAAATCTTTAGTGGTTTAACTATGAATGATAAATGATTTCAGTGATAAAATATATCTCATTTTAAATTATATGAGGTTACTTTAATACAGGTACTATGGATCTTATTTCATTGGTGGTGCTTACTAGGCTGAAATCTAAAGGGTTTCTGTGCAAGAAATCCTGGCTTTTGTCAGGGTAGAGTATGACTAATGTATTTGATTACAGTAGTTGTGGTGTTTCGTTTTTTGAGCTCAGAGAACGAAACACCACAACAATCATCCACCTTAGCTAGTAATTTTCTCCACAATTACAATTTCAGTAGTCGATTTCCATGGTTTTCAATGGATCTACAATTAACCTAAGTAAAATATTGTTAGAAAATTGTTATTTTAAGCAGATGGACAGCCCATACCAAAAGTAGAAAGTTCTATGCGCCTTCGCATTATGTTCTAGGTTAATAAAAAAACATGCATATAACATATAGAAATATATCTGTAAATTATGACATAGATATGGTTTTAAAACTTACTCAGCTTTTTCAAATGCCAGTTCAAAATTTGCTCGTTTATTTTTTGGATCTAATGTGGAGAAATCAAACGAATCCGGATAAAAGTGATGAATTAATGCACAAAATGCTAAACCATCACCCCAGCTACTTCCAAAATTTTGTATGTCAACACCCTAGGTACAATCAAAAAGTAGGCAATGCAATAAAGCAACGGATAGAAGTAACTTAAATTGTAATTATTGAAAAGCATAAATAAATCAACTAAAAAAGAAAAGCAAACATCAAGGAGAAGTGTCTCCAAAGTTTCTTATCAGGATGATAGTCGTAGGTTTTTATTGTAAAAGAACATTATTACCTAAGTGGATCTATGGGCTGCGAAAGATTAAGATATGAAAATTATCAGTTAAGCATAACCTATTTTACGTTAGATATATTAAGTCATTGGAGGTCTCATTCGTTGTTTCAGAGACAACACCCGTATCTAAAAATGTAGATAAAAAGTCTTAACATAAAAGAGGTTCAAGTTGTTTGCAGACAAACTATACTATTAATATATATATATATATATATATATATATATATATATATATATATATATATATATATATATATATATATATATATATATATATTAGATTTCAGTGAATGAGCATAAAAGAAAAAAGAAAGCTTATAATCATCCGAAAATAAACTATTTCGTATTCATGCTAGGATGCTTAACGTTTTGTACAATGACAAATTAGCTTTAGAAAATTCTAAAACGAAAGAAAGTCCTAAAACGTTCTGCAACAACATAAAACTTGTTTAGTAACATCCTTCTGGTAATCAGCCATTGAACATTGTACTTAAGAATGGGAAGCATGTTTATTATTTTAGCTGAAAATTCATATCTTATGCTTTACTTACAAAAGATGATGCTTTATGCGATGTACAAATTATCAAAGTGTAATTATAAAATTTCTTGATGTTAGGATTACCTTTTATTCTGTTGTAGTTAGCCGATTTGGTTAAATTAGTAAAAATATCTTAGTAATGATTATGGAAATTAAACCAATTAACTTTTGATAAAATCAGTGTTTTATGTGTGCATTTAGATATGTACTGAAAAGTACTTTTTTTTTATCTAATGACAGTTATAAAAAAATTCCATCGAAAAATCTTACTGTACAGATATTAGATATCAGCAAAATTCCGTATATTAACGAGAAATTCTATCATTTTTTCTTGAATTCGAGCAATGTTATACTCGGTCATAATGAAGCTGTATGGAATTATACATTGTTTTGAGGTATTAAATTTAAGAAGTCACATTCATGGAAACGACTATTAGGAGTAGTCAAAATCATATTCGTTTGGCTCCTAGTGTAGATTAGATCCAGTAGATCAAATTGCAGTTAGTTCTTCAGAAAAATGGTCTTAGACTAGTATTCATGTCACAACATGACGGGTAGGATTCAGTCAGTATTCAAAACGAGGAAAACATTATTTTTTCCGACACCCAGTATTTATATGATGAGATCTTTCTGTAGGTAGCTGGTCTTGAATTAAGCAGTTCAGTGGTAAGGTTTAATACTAAACATGAATGATGGGTTTGAATTCCATAAAAGGCAGTCATAGACCCTTTGTTGATGAGTATCGTATTACACAAAACCCAGATTCAATAATTCTAAATTGCTTACCGTTACAACAACAAACCAATAAAAATGAAGTCTATAAACTTCTTTATGGGATGAGCAAAGTTAAAAAATGAAGACTGATGAATTTTCAGAAAAAACAGTAAATGAATAAGACAGCATTGTTAAAATTACATAGGTGTTTTATTGCCTGACGTTATCATGTTGAATAAGGTTTATACTTATTCATGATTCATATAATTGTGAGAGAACTTTCATAAACTTAAGCTATTCCTTTTTCACTAATAACTCTAAACTTCACATAATAATGATCCTCTTGTGAGTAAGAATAACATGGTTGAGTTAATATTGTCTATTAACTTTGAATTAAGAAAGCTATGAGAATACTAACTATTAAGTAAGTAGTTTTTGTACAATCATCTAGCTAACATTCAGTGGCTCACTGAGTGACAAATTTGTGTGCACAAATAAAAAAGGCCACAAATGGATTTATTTGGAATATTTCATGCAGCTTTTAATTCATTAAGGAAATCAGAATACCTCTTTTTTTTACACAAAATGCTAAAATGTATGCAATCATCATCATAAAAGTTAAGAATGACTAAATATATAAAATTCTGTAAATGGTGTTTTACTCTTAAAGATGTTGAAAGGCTTTTCTATCCGATAACAGTTTTATTTGCATATAATTGATAATATGATATCCTTCATTTGATTATGTACAAAATGTTTGGACTTTAACGGATGACGATGTTGATGAACTACTTAAGAATCTTAACACATAAAAATATCCAGAATACTCATAATTTTCATAATGATTTCATGTAATGCACTAGGATTTTAATGGCAGAAAATACGATGTTCCATTAGTGATATGCATTTCAACTGATTTTTCCATTCTTAAAACATAACATGTAAAGAAATAAAGCTGCAATAACATATTGGTTGTGATAAGATTTAAACACCAACTAAAATTGTGGCGATTGAACAACAGGATTAACCAATGTCTAATTAATTATTCATTTCTCATTAACGCTTTATGTTTACGGAAATGTATCCGTTAGAGTCACATTGTTTAATTTAAAACATCTGTTACATCAAGTTACCCATATAATTACTTCTGTCAATCAAACATCTCATGTTATTTTTAAGGATACAAGCGCAAAATTAATTTGGTAAACAATGTGAAATGCATCAAACAGATGTATGAAACAAAAGCTAGTTTTTAGTACAATTTATTGTAGTTTTATTTAATTCCTTACATCCTAACTTTTATTCTGTATTATTTCAAGGCTACTCAATAATAAATTATTTTTAATTTGGGCATATTGTTGTGAATAGTTTTACTGACAAAAATAGATATGGGTTTTAACAAATTGTAAACACTTTGAAACATAGAAAAGGTTTAGCTATATATGTATGCTGGTGAGTATTTAGCTGGCAGATGATGACGACGATTATGTTTAAGACTTAATTATAGGTTATGACTTTTCGAAGAATGAGTAGGTCTGCGATAATTTATAGTTATAAATGACTGAGATTTTTTAATCACGAACATGATTATGTGTGAATCTGATTGAAAGACAACTGACAAATGACACTTTACGAATAATCTCTAAATGGAAAAGAATATAAGGCGAAGGAAGAAGTGCCAAGAAAGCCTGATATTCCAACAAACAGATTTGAAGTGTAATAATTTTGTATGAAATTGTAACAGGTGTAACCTTGGGACACAGCGAAATTGACAGACGGGAAATGAGAATGATCAGCGTTTGGTGAGGAATTATATATCAGAAAAGATGCACTTTATGTAATCGCTACAGAAAAATGTTAAGGTTAACTTTGAAAAGATGGAATACCTGAACACTCATTAGCAAAAGTAGACTAAAGTTATGCAAGATTGGGTGAACGGTCTAGGTTTTCATAAACGTAAGATAACATGGTGAATCCAATTCACTTATAAGCAAAATAGTCAGAACACAAGTTTAGTATTCTTCGGTACGTAAAGTTGTATATAATTGAAACGTTATGTTCGTGACAGCAAATCATACAAGTGGCATCCGTAATACATTATAAGTAAACGGAAGTCTTGTTAGCCTTAAAAAGCTACTGTTTAAAACAACTAATCCCCAACAAAATAGTGGTGAATGCCCAAAATAATTCATCAGTGTTGTAGGAAGTAACTGATATAAGCTATTGACTGTATTTATTATCCCCCACGTTTAAAATTATTTTAGATGATAGTTAACTGTGGTCTTAAGATCTCATAAACATTGAAAATATGAACTCTATGCAGGAGTAAAAATCAGTGACTCATTTAATATGGAGAAGTTAGTTAAAAACTGTCATGTTAGCATAAGCAATTATATCTTCCACTTTTTTTATCAGTAGTATCAGTATTAATATCAGCTAATTAAGGAGGTGAAGATGAAATTTTGTTTAATTTCTATTAAGGTGTGGGTATGATTATTAAGTGTGTTACATGCATCAACAATAGTTTTCCATTCATTCAATGCATTGATTGATTTTAAATCATTATTAAGAAATACGTTTTTGGACCAATGTACTGAATACACTTAAATACTAATACTACTGCTACATGTAACTAGCTGTGTATTTTGGTCATTAGTAATATCATTAGAATAATACAATTCATGATAATTTATAATAACAACATGTGGACTTCACTTTCAATCTAATCATTCAATCAAAAATCGAACATCTACCTCTATGTTAATTTAGAAATAACTAAATGATAGTGTTTATAAATCAAGTCTTCTTTACTCTTATTCAGTGAAATGTTTCAAAAGAGAAATACTCTGTCACTATCACCAAATAAAATAAATAAAATTCGATAAATAGTAATTATCTCAGATGAACAAAGAACACAGTTTAATCGGTTATAAATTTTAGCCGATCTAAAAATATTTCAGTTGATTATAAACTGGATTCAATTGATAAATGTGTTAAATGATTTAAAATTCACACTATTTACCTCGTATCCTTTAGTTACAGCTTTACACCAATCAAGCATAATCTGTTTTGCATTAGGCTGTGCTGCTTTTCCACCGGATGCGAAACTGCAATGTATTTAATCATCAATAAAAAGAAATAAACAAGTTGTTATTGAATTTTAACCTGTGATACCAAGCGTCGTGAAATTTGGATATACAGTAAGAAAAATCACATTTTCAGTTACAATTCTGTCCAAGGTCGGCAGTCCAGATTCACTGGGTTATTTATGAATAGTATCAAAACAAATCTCATTCTATGGTGCAATGTGACTACAAAGTATTCAACTTTTTAGCAAGCCATTTAATGATTAAAACATAAAAAGTGATCGTAAAAGGGACAGTATATTGTTTTCGTTCGCAATAGCATCATAGTGTTTTGATTCAGTGCCTACAAGATTATTTTGTAGAATCTCTGAATTATTACTTGGGTTGAGAAAACAAATGATCTGAAAGAGTTAAAAATTTAGTAATGAATAAATTATCTTGATCAGTATTTTGAGATTTTAATCAGCTGACACATGATTTTACAAGATGAATTAATCGATGTGTTTCTTTATAATTTAGTTGATACTTTAGAATTTCTGTTTATTTGAGGCTTAATGTAGAATTCTTTTTAAATGACACTCTTACGACTGGATAAAAAGTTTATTTTTAATGAATAAATGACTCTGGTGTAATTACAGCTGTACATTTCCGACTGAGAATACTGTTCTACAAAGTAAAATACTTCGAGAAACACACGCTTTGTATTCCAGTATATTCAGTTTACTAGAACATCGAAAATCCTGCAGCTTTATTGATGGTGTTTCATACTTCTGAAGGTAAATTATGAAATTCAAACTATTACGGTCTATTTTTTTAAAGTGTATATTTGGCAATATTAGACTTATGTGAAGCAGTATTCGTAGTAGTTTTTGAACTTTCAAAAACTCTAAAAGTAGCCCTAAATATATTTTATCATATTCATTCTTGTAATGGTTTACTTTATGCACGATTCTAGAGACAGAACGTGACTTTCAGTCGATAGTTTGTTGATTTATTGGTGCATCCTCACCAAAAGTAACAATTCCTAATACAAAGTGTTCAGTTTGTAAAATCCAGTCAATAGAAGTACGTGTATAATGAAACGCAGTATTGAAATTCCTCCACAAAAATTGTTAGAAGAAGTTCAAAAAGTCCCATTCGTTCGACAAAACCCACAGTGGGAGGAAAGGACTATGATCAACTACCGTAATGTAGATCTTGGTTAGTTTTTTTACCAAGAACATTTCTTCATAAGCTGTTCTGCTGCCCAATTTACCAATCCGTAATCTATCCATCACAGATTTACGATGTAACTCAGTATTTAGACACATTTTTGAATTCAGTTTTCCTTTTTGCTTGTGGACAAGTAATACTATCCAAAGTAGGTGTAGTGAGGTTCAGTTATAGAAATACATATCTATTCATCGAACACTTAAACAATAACACATGTCTGATTTCGGTATTGTTTATTAACCCAAATTGTTTTGTTTTTTCGAATAAAGCATATTAATCAAGATAAACTTTATGTAATAACTGAATTAAACGCTTTACAGGGTTGTATTTTCTAAAAGTGAATTTCACATCTTTAACTCTTACTTTGGTTTAGCACCCTGTGGATTGTTCGCCTTATCCATAGCTTTAAATTTATTCATCGTATGAGAAAATGTAGAATGATGTCTGAAAATATAAAGCAAAACATAAAATTAAAAAATTAGCGCTGTGTATAAATAAGACCAACCTTTGAAAAACTATTTAGACTATGAGTGAAACTGGCAAGTTTTTAGAATAACAATGCTATGCAATGATGTGATCTTCAGTAACTTTTAAAATTTGCTGAAGAAATCTTAGAAGGAGAACTGACCCACTGAAAAGCCAAACAGATCAATAAAATGAAAGAGAAACTGAAGAACGATTAATCCGACTTAAAAATGTGCTATCCTAGTTTCCTTTAACTTAGATCTAGTAAAATACTTGGGAGAAGATCTTACGAATGATGAGGAAAAAAATGAGCTGATAGTAAATTATGTTCAGGAATTTGCAGTTTGAAGAAGTTAATTAGTTGATACTGTTAGAAGTACTAAAATTGTCATCATTTATTGAATATAGTACGTTTTATGGAATGGTGTTTAGTACGGTGCCTATTACAATCTGTTTAATTTTTTTCCATGATTTAAAAATTCATCGAATTGACTATCAAAATGAAATTTCATCTTTAACAGTTGTTATTTGTAAAATGTAAATAAAAATCGATAGTATGGAACTGGACTGGTAAATAAATATGAAAAATAAGTTCAATTTGTAAGCAAGTAGCCAAAGCATATTTTTGCTGTAAACAATTCATGCTATTGTGACATGGATTTTAGTTATCAATTAAGTCATATACCGTCTAAATTTAAGGAATCTTTATAGATGATAGAAAAATCAAATGGAAATCAAAGTAATGGTCTCTGATGTAATAAAGTAAGAATCGGAAAATTTGAATGTATTTTACAGTACATTTTAGTGCAACTGCTGATATCATATTTTTAAATCAAACTTTCTCTTCACCTCAAACGTTCGAGCTTCCGACTACAAGCTTTTAACCATCTGACCACTGAATTGGTACTTATTGGTTTATATTTCTAAATGCGGTTGATTTGAAACTTTGCGTGACTACAACATACTGGAACTGGCGATTTAAGAGGAAGCTCGACTGATCACACCTTCTCAGTAGAACTCGAACTTGGTTCTACAGTTCAGTTACGAGTAAGCATCGGATGGATTCTTGCTGTAAATAGTTAATTTATCATCTGCTAAAACACTAATGATAATTATTAGTTTATTCTATAGTACGATTTAACGCCTGTCTTCTTTCATAGCACATCTAAAATAATGAAATAAAAATACGATCGGAAGTACCACAACTTTGTTAATGACACGAATTTTCCTCATAATCAAATTAAGTTAGTATAATATTGAGTTTTGTTAAGTAGAATTCATCAAACATAATACAGCTAAGCGAATATGTTCTAAAGATAAACAAAGATGAATAAATGGCAACTCTAAGACAATAAATGTAATTAACAATTAAACTTACCTTCTCAAAGTCGTCATATTTCCAGGAATTATGTAATGGTAAATAATCTTATGAAATCTTAAGTGTTTATTTTCGATCCGTATATAATAAGATTAGCAATATAAATGCCTTGTACTGTTCAAATGGTACAATGTTAGTACAAGAAGTAAAAAGAACTGCTCTAGAATTGTAACAGTACTCAAATATTAAGCTATCTTCATAATTTCAGACAAATCAGAATATTCTGTTCCACTAATCAATAAATAAACTCAAGACATGCTTTGTATGTCAGTATACATTTCAGTAAAATAGTTCATAGATTGGTTATGTACTCAAGTGAATGATAATTAAAAGAAAAGTATAATCATGATGACATGATTACATGACAAATACTAGTAATATACTATCATCGTATTGTGAATGATAAGCAAATATGAAATGCTGGTCACCTCAATTTTATAGGCTTACTTTAAAAACAAAGCATAACATTTTCAGTAGAATTTTGTTAAAAGAATTCATTGGTTAGATTACATAAAGAAGCTTTGACTTATAGACTACTGAAAGTTAGTGTTGAGAATCAATTGTAATACTATTATCTGAACTATTGAATAAAGACTAAGCATCTTAATCATTATTTTCTTGTCAACAGACTTTCAAGAAGATCTCGAGGAACTTGAAGTACACTGCTCAATTATCCCGTATGAAAGTCATCCTCCGAGTTGGATACGTCCAGGCAAACCGATTGTCTATATCCAGTTTTCAAAATTTGAAACCCCACATTATGTATATTCAGTATATATGTCGAATTAATATGCATGAGCTGTTTAAGTGAATCGGGAAAGTTTGTCCGATGAGAATTGTTCTCATAAAAGGTCATTTCTACATCATACATGTTTTGATCGTCTTGACAAGTATCTAGTCATCCCAATTATCATCATGAAAAGCAATGTGTTTTTCTTAAAAACACGCGCACATTTTAAATCACCCGATAAAGCCAATCAGTATTTACTTTTAATTAATGCAGTTATAGGGAATTAATATTATTATGCAAAAATTTTGAAATAACTTTTATTAGAAGCAAACATTGTTTTCAATGTGAAACATGTATATTATCATAAAAGCAATTGTCAGAATATTTATTTTACATTTTTATTATATAAAGAATTTTTAATCTCTGAAGTACTGAGAATAGAAAATTGTTTATTCAGTAAAGAATTTAAAGCATCTCATACTGTAGACAGTTTGCTAGTGAAGCAGAACATAAGTTCATAGTGCTATGACGTAATCAATGTATTTTTGCTACAAATAATGAAAATATTCACAAATAAACCTTATTGATTGCTTGATCTAGATCTAGATCAGCAAGTTTTAACATAGTTTCAACAAAAAAAACCAGTCAATAATTTTAGACGCTTAGCAGCATATTAACATAAATACTTGTGCTTGTGGATTAATGTATTGGTTAGCGAATATTTGAAGCTGAATATTTTAATCAGTAAAATCTAATTATTAAAAATGAAGTATAATATCATTTTTTTATTTTTTTTTTAGATAGACTAATAGTTATTTCACTTTAATTATGCGTACAACAGGTTAATGAAATAAACTGAATGAATATTCACTCTATGTCAATTGATTCAATAAGCTTTAATAGTAGTCTGATAGTCGATCCAAGCAATCTTCCTTAATAAGTTCTCGCTTCAGCAATCGTATTCAATTAATTAAAATTGTATATCATCACTGCTTTCGAATTACAACACTTCAGTCACTAGTGATGGTAATGATTAGAATACTTCCCAAAAGTTAGTATAAAACATAATTTCAGTTCAACAAGTATACTTATTATAAAACAACTTTGATAAACGACTCATTGAACCTTTTAAATATCTGGTTGTAGTTTTTTTAAATTATAAGATGTATTCAATCTACTTACGGTGCTTTTAGGATGGAATGTTTTGAACACTAAAGAATTTTTAGCGATTAGTTTAAAAATGAAAAAGATTGTTATTTGAATATTTCCAGCAACTTCTAAATTTAGTCAAGTTAACCGATAGATGTTAACAATGAGGATAAATGAAGAAATAATCTTTTTACAATTGTTTTTCAATACAACAGTCTATTAGGTCAAACTTCTGATATCTAATCTTTTAATGAAATCTTCAAATTACAGTTAATTTGGAATATTATGCTATCAATTCCCGTGATCAATTTTTATAAAGTAGTCATTACAAATAATGTGAGATGAAGCGAATACAATTCATCATTTCAATTTTCCTAGATCTTCCAAAAATTCATTGATCTGTCTAGATGAATACAATCTTATACAGGTGTATAATTGTTTACAACATATATGAAGTCATTTCGTTCACTAGTGAAAAGTAATCACAAATAGTTTACATATCTTTACAGGTCCAATATAAAAATAAACTGATTAAACAAAGAGAAACGATAACATAATCGAATATAAGAAACATTACCAAATCTTAATGATTACACTTAGTAAGAGATTAAAAGTAATTGTCATTACCAGAAAATCCAAATGGTAAAATGGTAGTTGCAGAGAGTATGAGAAAGCGGATGTAGTTGGATATCAAGACCGGTTAGAGGTAAAACATTTTACTGAGTAATATCAAAATAACCAGCCTAGTTGTACTAACTAACTTGTGTAGACGAACATTTGGTCAAATTAGGAATGAAAATGTTATGATTTAACTAAGATGAGGTCAAACAAACAAAAATGAGGGAGGGAAGAAAGAAGAAAGATGCAGCAGTGAATCGGTCACTAAAGTGATGTTACATGAACCACAAGCATTTTAGAACATGTAAATTGGGGCTTAGACAATAAATAGCGTTGCTTTTGCTGAATATGGAAGCGTGCCTTTATCTTATCTATTTATTATGACACTACTTTGTAAAACAATGTTTTTTTTTTAAGATCGTTCTCTGGATATATATATATATATATATATATATATATATATATATATATTACTGAGCTTTTTCTAAGTATTCATTATTGCCTACATGTTTATTAATCAATGCATATTTCAACTTTTGTTCCAGTTTTTTTTAATTCTGCAAAATAACAAAATGGAGAGAGTGAAACTCCATGGACCATCTTATTATATTCTTATGTAGATTAAGAAATAAAAGTATCTTTGACACTCAACAGATACTAGTTTTCATAACTACCGTATATAATTAACATGTCTTTGTACAGAAAACTGAAATACCGAAGAAAATGTTTTCACTTGTTGTGTATTTTTGTGAATATTTACTTTTAAAACAAGTACAATATTTACTTAGTGAAATATAACTTTTGAGCAGTAGAGAGACTATTTAATGAACTCATTGATTAGTTTGTCCTCAGAATTGTATTTCATTAAGCAAATATGTCGTTATTATCTTGTGTCAGCTGAGTTATATTTATCAGTGAATAGTATCAGAAATTACTATAATTAGAAATTATCATGATTATTAAAATCCATTAGATGGATGATGGCTTTTTGTTGTTGGATCCATGAATATTGAAATGATGTTCAAATGATGTTCAAATAATAAATTGAAATGTGAATCAGT